CTCTCTCTCTCTCTCTCTCTCTCTCTCTCTCTCTCTCTCTCTCTCTCTCTCTTTCTCTTACGCAATGATTTTATCATCGTTGATTACTCCAGATAAATTATTTCATCCTTAAAATCCTTTTACTTGTTACGCGATAAATTTTGATTTTTATGTTATGTATATTCATTCATTTGTTTCATTTTGTTTTGGCATTGATAAAATGTTCCAGAATGTAATTTAATTCTTTTTTTTTAAAATAAATTTTTGATATGTTTTATAATACAGATAAATACTTTTAAGCTAATATTTTGTTCCGTAAACAAGCTTGTATATCTCCCCGTATATCCTTTTACAAAGTTTAAAATAAATTTTGCGAAAATCGAGTTTTATTTCATCCCACCCACGTTTATCGTGTTATATAATACGTCGCGATTTTCAAATATTGCACGGCGAAAGCTAAAGGGGGCTGTCAGTGATTTATTATGAATAATTTATGATTCAGAATGCCATTTATTTTCCATCTGATATTATTTCTTCGTTATGTGAACCTTCTCGCCCGCAGCTGTGCGAGCTTACAATTCAGGCTTACGGACGCAACAGCTTCCGATGCATCGAACGCGGCCAAGTTTTCCTTATTCATTGCACGGTTGATCAAATGCAAAGCCGATACCTGAAGTTTTATTCCATTCCGCGCGTTTTACACCACGGTGTGTAAAAAGTTTCGACAATTCATCGTCCCTCGTTTCTTCACCCTTCGTAAGTAACGGTGAAAATCGTATCAGTTTTTTTTTTTTTTTTTTACGCTTCCCGCGTAGTTCATCGACGGCGTTGGCAAAATTTTCATAAAAGAACATATTTTAAAGAATAACATTCGGAGAAAGGATAGATATATATATATATTTCGTGTAGTAAAATCCGATATGTGAGAGAGCGAGTAGAAGTTAAGGTACGTTCTATATCGTATACATAGTTACACGTGTGTGGGTCCTTTAATAATAATTTCAATATAATTCTGAAATTCACGCTTTCCCTTCCGATATCGATGTTTGCCGCGATATTCCACATGTCGAAAATAAATAAGCTCGATGCAATAATCGGTACATTAATCACGGCGGGCGCATTATTGCGCACCCTTTGTGCCTTCCGTTTTTCTCCGATCGCGGGACCTCGGCTGCGTTTCTGGCTGTCGCGAGCAACAGTTTCCGTCGCGCGATATACACATACGTGCTTTCCGATTCGCGCGAATCGCGCGACAATCTATCGCACCACGCGTGGCGGTCGGCCGCCGTTAATCGTGTTATTTGCCCGCTAATTAAGCACACGCGATAAATTTGGGCGGCGGGGTGGTGGCAGTGGGGTGGCCCTGTTTATTTGTACGTTTGCCACACGTTCACATCGATACGTTTTGCACGCGATTCTTTTTTAGGCGTTTGTAGGCGAGGAATAACTAACGATCACAGTTAGATGTATTCAATTGTTTTCTTTCTTTTTCTCTCTTCTCTCTCTCTCTCTCTCTCTCTCTCTCTCTCTCTCTCTCTCTCCTAGTTTGTCTCAAATTTTATCTTTCTTTTTTTTTTCTGTTGAGAAGTTTTATTACAGTGCAAAATGGAGAGTTGGCGAAATAAATTTCTAGTTAAACGTACTAACGTGCGCTTCGCGATTTATGAAAACCCTTCGGGGTGCGCTATGTTTCACCCTACCGACGGCACGGTAAAGCGCTCAATTTTGAGAAAATTTCTTGCGGGATGTTAACAGCAGGTGCACCCGTTGCGAGTTAATTCGGGCTCTCTGTTCAGTTTGAAACAATTTGTTTCGGTGAGAACTATTTATTTGCGTGAGAGTTGAAAT